CTCGGACAGCCGAGTCTCGGACGGTCCCGACCGCGTCTCGGACGGTTGCGTCTCGGACGGCCGAGTGTCGGACGGCCGAGTGTCGGACGGCCGTGCACTCGATCCCTGGGCGTAGAAGTTTCGGATTTCTTGGACGCTGGCGACCTGGACGGCCTGCAGAAGGGACTCGCGGAAGGCGCGTATAGCAGCGGCCCGCTCCTCGGGCGACCCGAAGGGTCCGCTGTCCGGGCGTTCTCTGCCACGGGTTGCACGGTCATCTGCGGCGGGTTGGTTGCTCCTGGTGCGGAGGCTCGAAAAGAGTCCAGAGAAAATTGCGTAGCCTAGTGGAATGATAAGCAAGCAAGCTGTACCCTTCAGGACTCTAACAAAACCCTGAAGCAGAAGGAGTGCACCAGCCACCCACAAAGCACCGTCCAGAGGGAACTGCCCAGACACCACTTTGACTTCGTAGACCAGTCGGCTCGGCTGCAAAGGTGGGAGCAGCCGCGACGCAAAATACTCCGGCAGGCAGGACCTCGCCAGAGGCTGCAAAACCTGGATCGCTCGGTGCGCCGCCCGATCAAGCCGGGCTTGGAAAGGTGTCCGGTTCCAGTACCTCCGCAGCGGAGGGTAGCCTTCGTCGTAATCCAGGCGCAAGGCCGCAACCAAGTAGTACCTAACGGAAGTTAGCGGCACGCCTGCAATCCAGGTCTTGATGCTCCCCGCTCCGATCACAGCCGGGTTGAGGAAGTCACAAGTGATCTTCCGGCCGTTAACGAGATGAGGGACGTCATTGGTCTCAGAGCATTCCAAAAGCTCTTTCGGGTCTTCAAGAAGGAAGTCCGCCAGACTTTTCGGGGTGCCCACCGCCGTCCGCCAATACCAGTCAGAGAAGTCGTCGACAAAACCTATGGTGGTGTTTTGGGTCCCGGAAGCAAACCTTCCTGTCCTGCCAGTGTCCCTACCAGCGACCGCCGGGAAATCACCTGAACCCAGTGAGTTCCGGAACTCAAAGTCAGACATCACAGCGCCGGAGTTCTTTTCATTGAATGCCTCTTTCAATTTTTCAAGAATTGGGGACACTTCTTTGATGACCCCTCTAACTAATCGAAGCACCTTGGTGGGAGTTCCAGTTGTAGCTAGTTTCCTCACGAGTGGCCCAACGGTAGGTCTAATTCTGATCCATGTTCGAAGTCCAAACCTATGGTAAAGATGCTTTACAACTTTGGAAGGCCATCTTATAGATGCGCTTCTTGTTTGTCTTTGTGTGACCACACGATTTTTCGGGAGCGACGGGAGCTTCGCCAGGTCAAGATTGTAGTCTGGCAGTTGGGGAACATAACCTCTGGCGTCAGCCTGACCTGACGTCTGCGGAGGCGAATAAGATAATAATGATTGGCCGGTGAGAATAGCTTCGCTGACCGGAGATGAGACCCTGAGTCGGTCATGTTCCTGCAGCGTTCCGGTTAATTCTTGAATATTAGGGAAGAAGGAATCGGCATTGTCTGTATGGATCTTGAGGAATTTTTCAGGCCCTCCGACATAGTTTTGGCTAAGTAGATTGCTGGAGATGAGGAATCCCTGGTGAGAAACAAATTGTCTTTTGCCCTTCCGGACGCGAGTGGACGTTGCCGGCGAACTGACGGGAACCCTGCAGTTGGGCTCGAAGCAGCCGACGAGGGAGAAAGTGCGACCCATGTGGTCGTAGACGGCTTTGGCGGCGAGCGCGGAGCCGGCCAAGTGATCGGGCAAGTACGCCTCAACAACGCTCCGCGCGTGGTACTGAGACATGGTGTAGCGGCGGATCATCATGAGTACGAGGAAGGCACCGATTACCCAAAGGACGAATGCGCCGCCGAATAAGCGAAGGTAGGAGCCGCGCAGACCCAGAAACGCCAAAGAGTCGACGCCCTCCGTCTCCGCCGGCGCCGGAGCCTCCGAGGCCCTCGCCAAGGAAGCCACCAGCTGGGCAGTCATTCTCACCTCCTCATCCGTGAACGCCCGAGGAGACGTCGGCCGGGACGTAGAGTCAGGACTCGGTTCTTGTTCGGAGTTTCCGTGATCACACCCCGGGCTCGTCCTCTCAGTCCTGACTCCGCCGCCGTGTCCAGATACCGCCGGACCACTATCGGTCAAGACTTCAGAACCATACGCTTCAGACCCCGCTCCGTACGCTGAACTGGCCCGCTGGCCGTTGGCAGACCACTGACCAAACTCTCCCCGACCGGAGATGGCCATTCCTTCCGAGCTCTCGCTCGACAACGCCGGCAATGTCGACGCTCGCCGACTGAAAGTTCGACCACCACTACGTCCACGCCCCAAGTTCACAGGGGCACTGAAAACCGACTCGTCGCTGTCAAAACCGTCTTGTGAAGAACTGCGCCGCCTATCCGATGAACTATGTCCTCCCCTATCGTAGTCCCCCACATCTTCGCTACTCTTTCTCCCGCTACTCTCTCCGACACTACCATCCGCATTGCTCGAACACTCCTCCAATTTCCCGAGTTCCAGCTTATCCAATTCCAATTCATCCAACTCCAGCTTGTCCAACTTGCTTATACCTAGCTCAGGGCTATCCAGTTCAGGAGTACTTAGTTCAGGAGTACTTAGTTCAGGAGTACTTAGTTCAGGAGTACTTAGTTCAGGAGTACTTAGTTCAGGAGTACTTAGTTCAGGAGTACTTAGTTCAGTGATGTCTAGGTATTCTTTGCAATCATTGACTACGTCGTTGGCCTCGACCGAACCACGACCTGCCCCTGGGACGTGGGGATGATCGAAGCCATCCGATTCCTGAGGAAGATTGAGGCTGTCTGGTTCCTGGCTCACAGCTAGCTCTTGGCCGTCATCTTGCGCATCACTGTATTGTCCCTCGGCTGTAGTCGGCGCTCGACCCGCTTGTTCCGCTTGTTGCACTGGATCCGCTTCGTCTGCTGGGTCCGTTAGATCCTCAGAAATGCTTGGGTGTTCAGAGCAGGTAATGTCGCTGATGGGCGTGCGCTCTTCTTCACTACTAGACTCCAGGCTGCTCATGAACGGGCGATCCGAAGCACTGTTCGGAGTTGGCTTGAGGGAGCCCGAGGAAACGCGCAAGTCGGCATCCAGTTGGTCCTCCTCGAGTCCGTCTCCCGAATCCGGATCGGAGGACCGGAGAGGTGCCGCACGGAGGGTCCGCACTGCCTCCGCCAAAGGACTCTGCGACTCGTCGGACCGCGGCTCGTCCGAGTCTCCACCGATGAAGTAACATGCCGACCGGTACGTAGCCGGCTGCGACTCCTCAACGTCGCTACGACTGCTCACTGATGCTGGAACTTCCCGCGGCGATCGCTCGCACGGCGTGTCGATTCGGGCTTCCATCGCAGGAAACCGCAGCGCCGCAACCTCCCACCTCTCCGGCTCAGACGTCTCCACAGGAGTCGTCTCATCAGGAGTCGTCTCAAAAGGGGTGGTACCACATGGAGTTTGCACCAGTGACTTCGCCTCTGCGGAGTTCGAAGGCACCATGGCGGGTATCCTGCACTCTGGGTACTCTACCGACAGTTCCCCCTCACATCCACTTGTGTCCGAAACTTCATCCGCCGATAACGGCATGCGTTCCTCTCGGCGTGCCTCCGGCCGTTCCTCTCGCTCGCCTTGCCGCTCCGCGCCACCTTGCTCCTCGTCGGCTGGCCCTTCCTCGGCGCCTTCTTCAACGTCGATGAGTCCGCCTGTAGCGACGGGCGTGGTCGGGGGGCCAGTCTCTGTACTCACGCCGCGTTCGGACTGGTCTTCCGGCGGGGCCGCGGCCCGGGGTGCGCTGAAGGGGGCGCGTACGGCCGAGAGCGGTGCCGGGTTGGTCTCAGATGGAGGACCCGTCCCCTGCGGACTTGTCCCGTGGGGGGAGTTTGGCGCCAGATTTTGGGGTCTCCCTTCGGTGGTCTGTGGGCTCCGGTCTGTGGGGCTCCGGTCTGTGGGACTGCGATCAGTGGTGGTACTCGGATCAGTGATGGTACTCGGATCAGTGGTGGTGCTCGGATCAGTGGGACTACGGGCGGAAGGAGAGACCATGGAGGGAGGCTCGGGAGGGCGGGTGACGCCGTTGACGATGAGTGTGCCGTCGTTGTCTCTGCGTACGGGGACGAGAACGTTGGGCACAACTCGGTTGTGAGAAGGCGTGCCGTTGGTGTGCCTGTTTTGGTCGCGCCACCAGAGGAAGAAGACCTCACACTCCATGCCGATGAGGGAGAGGAGGCAGCCGAGGCCGACGAGTAAGGCGGCGACAAGGGTGATCCAGGACCCGTAGAAGCAGGAGCGTACAAAGGCCTCCAGCAGTCGGCAAGAGCGTTCCAGTCCGGTTCCGAGGACTAATAGAGAGCCGCCAAGTGTGGGTGAGCCGCCAAGTGTGGAAGAGCCGTTCAATACGGAGGAGGAGGCGTTCAGGACGGCGGAGGAGCCTCCCAGAGCGGATGCGAAAAGGTCGCCAGGGGGTGCGCCACGGAGACTGCCGGGCCGTAGAGACTGGGGCGGTCCAAGGTCGAGGTCGCGCGAAGTGACGAATTCCCAAGTTGTGCCTTCAGGCACTGAGAGCTTGCAGAGCAGGTATAGGGCAGATGGCACCCACACCCACATCGTCGCCGACCAGATGCTACCACGAAGCCAAACAGCGTTCTCCACATAGCACCCCTTCAACCACTCAGGCAACAACGTCCTTAAAGGCAAAACCCGAGGCGCACCCGCCGCCACGATGCGATCGTAAATGACCCCGTATCCGCATAGCTCACATGCACTCGTTCCCTTGAGCGATAACCACCGATCTAAACACTTCTGGTGAACGTACTTGATACTCCCGTGACAACGACAAGGGGCAAACAACTCGCCTTCTTCCCTTCCTAGACTGCAAATCTAAACGCACACACTTCGACACACACCCTTCCCAGACACCTTTACCCTTGTGCTAATAGTCCCACGTGCGTGTCAACAGACCCACGTGTGTCAACAGGTGTGTGTCAAAGTACGGGGTACTGGCGTGCACACGTGACGGTGTGGTGTTGGGCAACTGGGAGTGTGACCGGTGAGAGAGCGAGCTTACCCTGCACCCACATTCGTCATCCATGGATATTTATTTTTATTATGATTGACCAGCAACTGCCTGAGGGATGGGAGCCGGTGGCGATGGAAAATGGCCAGGTCTACTATTACAGCAAGGCGTTGGACCGGACCCAGTGGGAACGGCCGACATCAGCGAACGCTAGTAGCACGGCAAGCACTACTCCCAATGGTGCGATGAGTAGTTCGCTGGGTGTGGACCTGGAGTCGCAGCAGAAGTTGGGCACGCGGTTGGCGAGTGCTTATTGCGACATTTCAGACGTAGAGCTGCAGAGCCGTTTGCTGTGCCCACTGACCCCCCACCAAGCTCTCATGGGTGCCAGCGACACAGCCCTCGCAGACCTCATGGAACGTCCCGACTTCATCGGCCCCTTCTGGGTCTGTGTTACCGTCGGGCTTACTGCCTTCGCATCTAACCATATCGAACAATGGCTCTACAGCAGAGACGTCGTACACACCTACGTGGGTACGCTCCCCTTCGCCTGGTGCCTGCTCATATTCTGGTGCGTCATCTCCCCCCTCGTGCTCCGATACCTCTACCACTCCGCGAACCAAAATTCGAACGATTTCAACTTGCCCGTCGGGCTATTTAAACTTGACTCGCTCATTTGCGCCTACGGCTACTCACTCGTTACTGCCATACCCGCTCTGCTGCTAGCCTCCGCACCCTCAGTCGTGCTCCGGATTACCTTCCTACTCGCCTCCATGCTCTGTGGACTGGCCTTCCTAACAGCTTGCCTCAAAAAGTAAACCTACACACGTGGCCCTCGACACGAGTAGCGGACCCCTCACCATGACACACCACGACACGGGCTTTTTAGTGATATGGTTCGGGTTTCTGAGGTACGGAGATTCTGGGTTAGATGCGGCATGGTCGGTAATCATGTGCTCATATATGGGGTCTTCGTTTTGTGCTTTTTTTGAGCTGTGGTGGCCCTAGGTCTTACTTCTCGTCAGGACGTCTCAAATTCGTTCAGGTTCAGTCGGACCAGGTTCGACCAAGCCGACAACCACGACCAAGCTGCTTGGGAACCAATTGACGGGCACGCTGGGTGGGGCAGATATGTTATAAAAGACGGGGGCCTAGCTAGCTGGCGCCTTTTTGAACTTCGATGGATCTTCCGTGCAGTTTCATCACCACCTTATCCAATGTTACCAATGAGGACTGGCGGAAGATAATTCTGGTGGGTGAAGGGGCGAGAAGGGGGCGTTCGGCATGGAAACGACTAGACAGCGGAGCTCGGAACAGTCTGTACTACTCACAAGAGCCTGCACCCGGACCCGTCGGAGCACCGTCTGCATCCGGTCAGCCACTAATTCGATCCTCGACGGATGTCCACCAGATGGAGAAAGAAGGACCCCGTAGCCGGTTCCACGAGGCAAGTCAGATATGGAGAAGGACAGTAGACGGGCCGGGGCCTGACGGACTTCCACGACGTACAGGAAGCCTGGGAGGGAGTTGCGGCACAAGCGGACTTATTTATCGCTCGGCCGCGGGAGATTCGAGACATAGGGACTCAAAAGAAAGGGATTTAAGAGAAAACGATTCGAGAGAAAGGTGTAAACCTCCAGGAAGGGCCACTGCACCGGGGGTCCACGGGTCGGGAATCCATGTACCAGGGGCCAATGGACCGGGAGCCAATGGACCGGGAGCCAATGGACCGGGAGTGTTAGCCTACGGATCGGGAATGGCTAATGGAGTGATGGGAACGACCACGGGAAAGACTAGCGGTTTAATAACCGCGTTAACGGAGCTGGATCGTGAGAATATTGACCCCTACCATGACCCTTTTGGCGGCAGACGTCATGGGAGCTATAGACATCCCAACAGTTGCGACCCTCTCGGACTCAAGAAGGTCGCCAGGGGAGGGCTGCTGCGGCAGAGCGAAGGGGCGGGCCCGGTGACGGTTGGCGGCTCGGCAGGACTCAGCTCTTCGAACACTGAAGGTGTTCGGGATTGTGAAGCTGCGCGGTGGGAGGAAAAAGCTCGATCGGGGGCGGCGTCAGGGTCAGGCATGGTGCCAGGGTCAGGCATGGTGCCAGAGTCAGGCATGGTGCCAGAGTCAGGCATGGTGCCAGAGAGTGGAGGTCCTTGCACGTACATGCCAGTGGACTTTTACGAGAGGGAAGAGGCTGTACGTCCAGTAGACGTTGGATTGTTGTTAGGTAACGATGCAAGCATTTGTTTTGGAGTACGGCAGGCGAATATTTCACTGAGTTACAGGCGCAACATTTTATTGTGGATGGGCGGCATCTGTGGCACGTTAGGTTGGAGTTATGCCTCCTATTATACGAGTATATTCGTTTTCGATCGGTACGTATTGGACGTGGATCATGTGATTAATTCGGCGGATTTCGCGTCGCTATCCGTGTCTTGTTTATATCATGGCGTGAAGTTGCGTGAATGTATGTACGATATCGTTAGCTATTCGGAGTTCCGTAAGTTCTGTCCGGAGATCGGTTCGAATTTTAGTATTAAGTCGAACGAGCTGCGGATACTGGACCACCTCAAGGGCGCGACAATAGGTTACAAGACCCCGTATGATATTATATCTTTGTGGCTGGCACGTTTGCAGAAGTTCGAAGAAACGCGTTTTCTTTATTGCGTATTAAAAGCGACGGGCTTGGCCGAAGAGATAACGTACTGTATCCTGCAAATCTCTAATGCATGCATCCTTAATGCCGTAAACCTTACCATGCCGCCGTCTTCATGGATTGCAGCTTCCCTCATGTACATTATCCGCCTACTCTACAAACAACTTATTCCTGAACTGCTCCAGACGACCGAAATCACCAGTCCCCTACACAGCCGCAGCGGTGCTATCACCTTTGGCCATCTCTATTACTACCTAGTACACGACTTACGACTGGACCCACAGGACCCGTCGCAGGTGGTGGCAGAACGTGTGCTCCGATACCCCGGCGGCCAAAAGACTCTCTCCAAACTCGTCCAGCTATACCAACCTCTTGTCGCCGCCACTCTTCGTCTACTGAACCCAACCCACAAACCTCACGTATTCAAAACCGCCCCTGGCCTCGGCGCCGCAGACGTCAGCTCCTTCAAGTCAGCCCTCGTACGAGACTTCCGACGCAACCTCTTACCCACTCTCAAAACATGCTCAGACAACCACCGTACCGAACTCCGTGCACCCCTCGCACACGCTCGCAGACACACTAATATTTGCGATTGCGCCCAGTGCCAGTTCTACCTATCCAACCCACCCGACTGGAAACTTCTCAGACAACTCAGACATGCTTCTGCACCCAACGGACCCACCCAGCACCCATAAGCCCCGTAGTTAGTCAGACCCGCAATAGTTAGTTAGTACCCCAGCAACCGCCCCGTCGGCTCCAACCTCGTCGGTTACTGCCAGTCAAAAAGCACTCATCCAAGTGTGGTCATCTCCATGGTGACCCTACTAATAATGGACTTTTTGTCTAGTTCGTTGATGCAGCCCGCCTCTATCATTTCGTCCATGGTCAGGAAAACTTGGTCCAACCGTTTAAACAACAGGGCGCGAGTTAGCTTCTCGCTTATCAACGAAGTCAGCACATCGTACAGCGTCTCCGCAAACACGGAAATCAACACCTCGTTCGTAGCCGGGTCGCCAATGACGATTATGCTCGAATCCCCCAGATACCGGAACAACACGGTATAGTCGTTGTACGTCAGCACCTCAGCCTGATTCAAACGCACCCCCGACTTCCGTCCCGTCGCCACAATACGCGTTTCAAACGCACGCTGCAACTCTTCAGTAGAAAATACATCCAACCGTCGCGCTATACCCGAATAACTACAACAGATAAACCATCACAGAGCCAACACAATAATGAGTCCGGCACACAACTTACTATATGGCGATCCGGTCGCCTTTGTCATCGAGTATCAGCACCGCCAGAATCTGCGATAACTGATCTGCAGTTTTTCCGAACATTAAAGGCCCAAAAAGAAACTAACTAGCTACAGGGCAAGGCCTCCACAAACTCACGCGTCTGCGGCGACACTTTCTTGCCCGTTGGACCCAGAATGCCGACCTAGAACCACAACCGTCAAATCCCATCCCCGTGGATATCTTATCACCCCCCACCTCTCCCCGTGGGTATCTTATCACCCGTAAGTATCTTACCATGTCATTGAATGAAATAACTTCATGTTCTAGGAGAGTGTCAGCAAGTTGTCGCACTTCTCGCTGTTTGCTGGTGAGTAGGTCCAGGCAGCGCGTCCACTGGTAGCGTAAGAGTTGGCTAACTCGGTCGTCGATTTGTTTGGCCGTAGCGTCAGAGTAGGTGGTGTGTAAACTTTGTTCGTTTTGTTGGTACGAGCGTAATCCGAGTACTCGGTCGAAGCCGAAGACTTGTACGTAGGCTTGGCACAGCTTGGTGGCGCGTTCGAGATCATCGGAAGCTCCAGTGGTCACGGTTTGTGAGAAAAGGTGTTCGGCGGCTCGTCCAGCGAGGAGTGTGCAAATTTTGTCTTCAAGCGTTTCCTTTTTAGAAAGAAGCAGGTCATCTGGGAGCGTCTGTGTGTAGCCCAGTGCACCGCTAGCTCGCGGTACTACCGACAGCTTCAACACCGGATCTGCCTCAGGCAAAAACCAGGCGGCCACGGCATGACCAGCCTCATGTAAAGCGACCTGTGCACGTAATTCCGGACTCAGCACATCCCCAGTATGTCGCAATCCTCCCACCAACCTCTCCACCGCCTGTTCCAAATCCCCTAGAGCCACACTGTCTGCGTCACGACGTGCTGCCAAAATCGCACCCTCGTTACAGACGTTCTTGATTTCCGCACCCGAAAACCCAGGTGTCAGAGCAGCCAGACGTTGCGCTACACCCCGCATCCCATCTTCCAACTTGAGTGGACGCAAGTATATCTCGAAAATAGCCAACCGCTCCTTGATAGACGGCTTAGCCAACGCTATCTGCCGATCGAAACGTCCCGGCCTTGTAAGTGCCCGATCCAGCACATCGCCACGGTTCGTTCCTGCCAACGTAATCACGTTCGCATTTGCGCTAAAGCCGTCCAGCTCAACAAGCAACGCGTTCAATGTCGACTCGCGCTCATCCGTGCCACCATTGCCCAAGTGATTCGCACCAGCCCTCGCTCGTCCGATGGTGTCAATCTCGTCGATAAACACAATAGCTGGCGCATTTTTGCGCGCCTTAGCAAACAAGTCACGAATCCTTGAAGCACCAACTCCCACAAACATCTCAATAAAGTCCGAACCCGAGGTTGAGTAAAAGGGCACACCTGCCTCACCTGCAATAGCCCGCGCTAACAAGGTCTTACCCGTACCCGGCGGACCCACCAGCAACGCGCCTTTGGGAATCTGCGCTCCTAAACTCGTGTACTTCTCCGGGTGTTTTAGAAAGTCCACAAACTCTTGCACCTCCAACTTGGCTTGTTCCAACCCTGCCACGTCACTAAAACGTACGTTTGGCACCTCACCCGGAGGCTTATGCTGCGCTTGCCCGAACTTGAGCAAGTTATCTGGCAACTGCGTCTGAGTGGGTGCGTTCGCTCGGTCGTAATAATCTCTGTGGAGGCGCGCCAACGTCTCCGGCTGACTCCGACGCACGCGCACAAAGGACATGGCCGCCAACGCCACCGAAGGTAACACGTTCCGTAACGTCTGGATCCGGTCCTTGCAATCCAGGTAATAGACCGGCGGGATCTTACTCGTATACAACCGCAACAGCGTCTCCAGCTGATTCAAGTCGCCCACCTTGAAACGTACGAACCGCTTGTCTTCCGCAAAGTCTTCCGCCCTCACCAGTCGCACCAAGTGTCCGTACAGCGCGCGGCGCAAGCTCTTCCGCCGCTCCCCTTGTTCTCGCACACTCGCCTTAGGACCACCATCCCCGTCGCGGGTGCCACCAGAGGAAAGCTTCATACCAAGGGCATCGGCCGCCTTGCCCCCCAGCACCTCGATCGCCTTCACTACGCCGTCAATGCAGCCATTCAAGTCGAAGGGCTGCTCATCCTTTAATACCACCCGCACATGATCCTGGCCTATGACCTGTAATCGATCCACCTTGCCGCGGCGCAAGTAGTCGTACATAAACTCCTTCATGCTTATCATTGACTCCGCCTTCACTCGGTCATGTTCGCCTGTCAAAAGCCACAGACCCAGACTGGCGAAGATGGTGATCACCGAAAGCAACGGCAACTCGATCGTATTTATTCGCGGAGTTGGCGGCGTAAGTAGCGGGGGAATGTCGTTGGTCAACCGACGGCGTGGCGGAAGCAAGGGGCGTCCCGATCCCTTCCTAAAATTACTCGTCGTGTCTGCAGCGCGTAACAGGCTCTTTGCACCGATCTGTCCCAAGAAACTAATGCCCGTGGTCCATTTGACTTTCCCGGGCAGCATCGGGCCTATATCAAGGCAAAGGTTATAATAGCAGGGTCAGAGCTCAAAAAGTCCGATAACAAACACCGCAGCACACGCGTGTGCGACGCATTTACATTGAAGAATAAGAACTAACGAGGGGTCAACCACCCGGAGTCAACGTTTTTATTGCTTGTTGATCGCGCTCTCTAAAATATCAGCAAGCAGCTTGCACCTTTGCAGTTGTTTATCTGAAATTGGCAGATCTTTTGCTTGGACACTTTCGAGATGATGGCGAATGTTTTGGACACGAGAAGACAAGAGTCCAGCGATCATGCCCTGCTCTTTCTCATTCAATTCTACGGCTGCTTGGGCGACCCCTAATCCATTGGACATCCACATGAGTCTGCCCTCAAGGCCGATGTACGATTTCTTGACAAGGGCCATGGGAACAAGAACTTCCTCATTTTTCCATATTGCTTTAACACATTGAGAGTCATTGATCGAGTCGGTAGATGCGTCATCCCAGCCAGCCAAAGATTCCGCCAGCACTAAAGAAAAAAGGATGTGAGGAAGAGAAGATGGAAATGGCGCGCACGATGGTGAATCCACACGATGGTAACATACTTCTGACAGCAGCCATAGCAATGCTTTTGGATGGATAATTATACAAATGCTTCGGCTCAAAGTTCTTAATGACGATGATGGTCCAAAATCCATGGGTTAATTCCTGTACATCTAATAACGCCGACGTATATAAGGCCACATCATATTGTTCTACAAACGGTACGGTATGGATATACACGGGTATGGATATACACGGGTATGGATATACACGGGTATGGATATACAGTTTGCGTAACAATCTAGGTGAGAATCTTACTGGCTTCCAGTTTTCCATGCAGACTCCGTACGGCTTTGGCAGTTGCGTTATCCTCGTTTGTCTCATCATCTAAGGCTTGCATAATGTTATCTATTCCGAACTTTTCGATGAACTCTTTGGTTTCCGTTTCCGCAGATGTAAGTCTTCTGCAGGCTTCTGGGTCGGGTGTAGCTTTCATAGAGGTCTTCAAGTCCTCTAGCATGCTGCCTAAGGATCTTTCGACTCCTTCGATTCGCCGGTTAACACCGTCCAGCCTCTGTTGCAATGCCGTCGACCATTCGGCAATCAATTCGCGCAAAGGGTCGTGCACATGTGCCAACGTGTGCGTCTGCAGGCGCTGCACAACCGATGCCTCAAACTGTGCCAACTGGCGCTCGGTCGTAAGAATAATCTCTGTCATCACTCCCTCCAGCTGCTCCGCAATCATGACGCTCATCTGATCCAATACACCCTTGATGCTAGCGCCCGACATCGAATCGACCGCCAAACCGGAATGATCCACATTAGACAAATCCACATTCGGGTGACGGCCCCCATTGGAGAAACGGTCCTCACTAAACTCGCCCACCCCATCCACTGTAATGTCGACTTTCTGGTATGCCGGGATCGAAGCAGGGTGCTGAATTCTGGGGATCGCACATTCCATCCGCATCGCCTTGCGCAAGTCCACGACCGCAGGGTCCAAGGCAACAGGGCCCACGGCGGTCTCTTGCACAGCCGGGAGAGTCTCCGACCCAGTAGTCTGCGGTAGAGGCATTTGCGGAAGCGGAATCTTGTACATCCACTGGCTGGCAGTGCCGTCGAAAGCTCGCACAAAAATTATATCGGAGTCGAGCGATGCCTCCGTCTTGCCACCACCCCAGGGCAGGGGGAAGCATTGCAGCCGCTTGTTCGCCGTGTCGACAACCAAGAGCGCATGCAGCGGCTCTGTGCCACACTTCATGCTGTTGTCCACCGCGGTCTCCACCGCGGTCTCCACCGCGGTCTCCGCCGATCTTTCCCCCCCGATCACATTCACTGGCGACTCGGCGACGTCGCCAGCAGGAGCGCCAGTGGGTGCTCCAGCGGGGGAGCCAGTTGGAACACCGGTGGGAGTGCTAAAATCTTCAGGAAGCGGCGCAGCGGGTCTTTCGGCGGGAACGGGGCAGTTGAGGAAGACGGTGGCATATTCTGTGCCGCAAATGCCGGCGCCGGCGACGTCTACTTCGAGGTCTGGGGCGCCGAACATGACAGAGGAGAGGAAGTTTTTAAGATGCGCGTATACCGGGATACTGACTACGCTGGTGGCGGAGACGGCGACGACGTGGAACTTATGGTAGGTCTCAGCCTCGTTTAGGTTAGCGCGCGCCTTCTGCACGCGACTGGCATTAATCAGGCTCCAAAGCTGCGTCTTGGGACAGAGTGACGCCGCTTGGACGTAGGGTCCGTCCGCTGCACACACGTGTGTCCACGCTTGCGCCGGCATCGCCAAAATACCCTCGAAACGGAACCGGCGATTGCTCCACGCGTCCGTAAACAGGGCCACGTGCTTCGAGCCTTGCACCCACAGCAACATGAACGACGAGTCGCCGTGCGGGACAGCATGACCCATAATGCGCATTGGCCGCACCACCTCCTTCTCTGAATACTTCATCAACCGAAGAAACTGGCGTAACTCTGTCACGTCGCACACGCCTTCCCCGCCGCCGGCCGCAGTAGCAGAAATGTCCCAGGTCACGATGGCCGTAGGGTGGCAGGTAATGAGCTTCTCGGCGCCGTGAGGGTACCACAACACGTCTGTCACTTCATCCCTGGCGACGAGTCTACACAAAAACTCCACACCGGGGAGCTCTCTCTGGAGGGCAGCCAACACTCGGATGGAATAAATATACACAACGCTACCTAGAACCTGTTTGCCCTGAAGCGACGGCTCCTGGTCTGCTTCGACTTCCGGCGCCTCAGACCTCGGTGGCTCAGACCTGGGTGGCTCAGACCTCGGTGGCTCAGGCCTCGGTGGCTCAGGCCTCGGCTTGGCTGCGGCTGGCTTGGTCACCAGAGCCACCGCCAAGGCGTCATTCGCTCTTTTCATTCGTATATGCGTAAGGCGCTGGTCTTGAGGTATTTCGAGTGCATGCTCCACTTTGGACGCGCCTGGGACTTGAACCGTGAGCAAACTGTTCGTCGCCGTCGCCACATAGTTGCCTGCAATGGCAGTGACCGCCTCCTCAGCAGCGCCATATTGTTCGGTCTCTTGCTCGGCCTGTGGGCCTTGTTGCGCAGTTTGACCTTGCTCGGCACGAGCCGTGGGGTAGAATCGCACAGGCGTAGTTTCGCACAGTTCCGCGGCGTCCAAGTCAGGAACGGATCCATCATCGTAGCTCCATTGTATGCTTACGTGCGTGGTTACGGAAGAGCGAGTGTCATCAGCGCAGAATGGCTCAGTCCAGACCTTGCTCCATTCCTGCTTGCATTCCATTCTTTTTAAATACTGTTCGGACTGTACACCCCGGACTGCAGTGTACGCGGGACAATTGACGAGGACAATTGAAGAGGACAATTGACGAGGACAATTGACGAGGACAATTGACGAGGACAATTGAAGAGGAAGAACAGGCAGGATAGCAATGTCGACTGGAACAGTGTCAACGGGTGCCGCGGGTACGATTGCTCGTTTGAATGTGTTTGCAAGTACGAAGCGCGCGAAGCAGTGTCCAACATGCAAGGACAGGAGTGTTATCGTGTATGATACGCATAGTGGTGACGAGATTTGTTCGTTGTGTGGGCAAATTATAGAGTCTCGTACGATGAGTGAGGAGCAGGAGTGGCGTTCCTTTTCGAATGATGGTGGTGGAGGAGTAGAAAAAAGTCGTGTTGGTGGTCCGAATGACACATGGCTTGAGGATAGTGTGAGTGGTACGACGATGATGGGTGGTGATAAAAAGTTTGGACGGCTTGCACACGCCCACGATCTAGCTACGGGTACTAATTCGGGCGACCGACAACTTAAGAGTGCCTTTAGTAACCTGCGCTTCATCGGCGACCATTTCGGCTTTCGCAATAATTTACTTGAACGATGCCGTGAAATTATTAAAGACCTACAGACAACTGGCAACCTCAAATCCCGCACAGGGGTAACCAATATGCTCGCCGTCGTCTATCTCGCAGCACGAGATGATGCTGATCCACTCTCCCTCAAACAACTTACCAGTTTCGATCGAGCCATTACAGAAAAAGATATTGGTAAGGCTGTTAACAAAATCAAAAAACTTCTACCTCAAAATCGCACTGCAGGTGCCACCACATTCGCCAGCAAAGAACTCGCCGTAAATACACACCACCACCCATGCATGGGTCACAACCACCCACACCGTCACCGTCCGCACACTTTCACACACTTTCACACACTTTCACACACCTGGCCACACACACACCTTTTAGTTGCGGTTCGCGGCTTCGCTCATGCTCGCGGACTGTGTGCGCGACCTGGCAGCGCATATGTGTGTGCAGTCGGAGATGACCAAGGTGATCCCAGTGAGTTCGCGTCCGCACATTCTGGCGGGCGCGGCGATCTTCCTGGCATGTCAGTTATACGTGACACAGATCGCGGCGACGGACTTGGCTGTGACGGCGCAGTGCGGGTTGCAGAGTCTGGTCGAATACTACGGACACCTGCTCAACGCCGTCAAAACCATCCTGCCCAAGGGCTTCGTCCCGCGAAACGTTGGCGGCATCAACGCCCTGGTGCGTCCCGAACATGTCCTCAAGCGCGCAAGCGCCAAACCCGCCGCCGGTTGACCACCCCAGCAGTGCCCGGCTGCCCGCAGCAGTGGGTGCTGAGCGGCGCACGCTCGTGTGTTGGGTCACAAATGTGTGGCCAGCTGTGTGCACACACGTGTGGGCCGCCGGGCACTACTCTTCCTCCTCGGCGGAGTCCTGCTGGGCGGAGTCCTGTTGGGCGGAGTCCTGCTGGGCGGAGTCTTGCTGGGCGGAGTCCTGCTGGGCGGAGTCCTGCTTGGCGGAGTCCTGCTGGGCGGCAACATGTTTGTTGGTTTCTCTTTGAACGATCTTGGCAGCGAGGGCCTCGATATCCTTCATCTGGTGGCGTTGACTTTTGCCCTGAGCGTTAGTGTTACCTCGGGCGCATGGTGGTACGTACTGGAGCGAGCATTCGGCCATAGCCCGCACGCCGGGTTGCAGATTCGGTGCTAGACGCATGATGTAGGCCTCGATATCGGCTGCAGAGATGGCCTCGTTCTCCGCATGGTCCCAGAAGCCAAGAGGGAATTGGAGCTGATCCTCCATACGGGTCAGGCCTTCCAATCCCGTCTTCCACACTTCCGGAGTCCGCGGAGAACTCTTTACCGCATCCATTATTATCTTCCAGTTCGTACGCTTTCGAGGATTCATCCGCTTAGGCAAATCGATGCCATAATGCTTCACCATATCATGCATCACGTGATGCCGGAACCGACGAATCAGATCAAGACCCTCAAAACATGCCACACGTTGTTCCAACCTTTTCAACCTCTCCTCAACCGTCAACTTTTCATGACCCTTCGCAACCTTCGAGTCGCCGCTCTTCTCCTTTCGCACAGACTTATCCTTCTTCTCTTTCTTCTCCTTCTTCACCTTCTCCACACCGTCCTGCTTCTTGCTCATAGCCACTATAATTTAATTATCGATCCGCCCGCTACTCTGCACAACCTCTGACAGAAAAGCAGCGGGACCACCTCTGTATGCAACCTCACTGACCCAAACGCGCGCTCTGGTCCCGCTGCTTTTCTGTCGGTTGTTGGTCACGAGTGTTGGTCATGCATGAGTGTGCTAGATAACCAGCACGTGAAGCAAAGTGGCCAGAAAAACCGTGACTGGAAAAGAGCTTCTTCTGGAGCGGCTCGGCGTGCACCGGTGTGGTCCGCGTCTTTCCCACCGAGAGCGCAACCTCGTGGGCACATCCCGCGTGCAACCACACGCCCTGCGTGCAACCACACGCCCTGCGTGCAACCACACACTCTATGTGTCGACTCCGCTGCTTACACCAGCTTGTCGCCGGCTCTACTCAGCAACACCGCCTCGGGAAGCAACGAACGAGGGAGGGGAGTCTCGCTTGCCAAGCTCTTTGCGTGCTTCAGAAAGTTTGCAGAGCTCGTCATCCAAGAACGACTTGAGCGACTGGCCTCGTCGTTTCATTACGGCTGCAAACAGTTCATTGCCGTGCGTGAGTGTGGCCTCCACCCTTGCGTTATCGCGACCGGTTCGTCTCGACCGGCGCACGCCCAACCGCCACCGCAGCCAGGCCTTGCGTAGCTGCGATGTCTTGATATAGTCCGCCACCGCACTGCTGCAGTCCACAAACGGCACGGCGCTGTACTCCAGGTCCTCCTGTGGAAAAGTCCGTCGAAGGGGTGAACCGCCTCTCTGTACTTGACGGAACGGCTCGCTACCCGTCACTCCGCCGGAATCCCGATCCTCCAAGCCCCAGTCGACGCTCTGTTCCTCGGGCGTGCCGTAGACCTCGAGCCATCCCGGGCCGCCGGCCGTACTTGGGCCGCCGCCGTACTTGGGCCGCCGACCGTATTCGAGCCATAGCGGGCGTCAGATGGCCCTTGAGGCGGAAGCCTGACCGCTGCGATCGGCCGCTTCACCGACCTCGCTTCCCGGGCCACCTCCATCCGACCACTCCCGTCCAGCAACCCCCGGTGGCCGTCTGGCAGCCAGTCGATGGACCGGAATCTGGACCGGAACCTGCCTGCTGCTTGAAGCTGAGCAGCGCCGATCCGCGGGTCGCTCGGGACCTCATCAGGCTCGCTACTGGCGTCGCAATCCGTCCCCCCCGCTGCCCGGTGCGCCGAACGCCGGGGGCCCTGGTTCTCCTCTCCCACGGCTGTCCGGTCCAACTCCGTAGGCGCCCAACCGGCCTTCCGCTGCAGGTAGTCCGCAGAGGGCGCGCGGATCCGCGACCGTGGCCGCGCGCCGAGGAAGTCCACGCGCGCCATTTCCTCACCGGGCGAGCAATCGTCGGTGATGGAGCATGTGTCCTGCCTACGACCACTCCCTCCTAGTCCATTTCCTCCCCTTTGGTCGAGGAGGGCAGGGGCGGTGCGTCCGACTAGGGGCGGTTGGAGCGAGAGGCAAGGGTGCTTGAGGCAGGGTCGGAGGGCGCACTGTAGCCAGCGGCGGAAAAGGCGGCGCGCAAGGCGGCGTAAATGTGTTTGTTGTACACGCGAAGCCTTGGCGGTGAGTCGGCGTTGCGCGAGACGGCGCCAGTCACCGAGAGCGGCGCAGACATGTGCGCGAGCGATCGTCTGCTGCCAGCGCGCGGTGAGCAGCTCGACTTGCGCTGCCCAACGTCGCACGACGCAGCCGGCACGCCAAGTGCGCAACGCCTCGCGAACCACCGTGGCGCGCAACGTCTCCCGCACCACCGCCGCCGCTCGCTGTTCGTAACGCTCCAACTGCGCCGCCAGCGCCCAACGAAGTAACGCCTCCTTCGCGCGTGCGCGTATATTTACGCCACGCACGACATCAAACGCGCGCGCACGCTCAAACAATGTCGTCACCAATACACGCCAACTCCGAAACGCCCAGACACCCACCTCCCGCCGCCGCTGCGCCGCAATCCGTCGCGCGCACACGCAGTGCTGCGTAGCCGCGCGCCAAATGGCCAGGTAACGTGCACCCGCTGCCACGCTGCGCCCACTCGCGATGCAGCCGGCCGCCACCACACCGCGCGTGCACACCCGCCAGACTCGCAACGCCAACACCCTCGGGTACACCGAACACCGCTGCTCGAAACGCTCCTGCAACATCCGCAACGCTCCGGGTTCCGTCCTCGCTACGGGTTCCGTCCCCCGTCCGGAACCCTTCTCCAACTTCGGTAGCTCCTGGTAGCGGGCGATGTAGAGGTCGTGCCAGTGATTGAAGGTCTGCTGTTTGAGGAAAGCGGGACGCACGGCGGGTCGGGCGAGGGCCCGGGCGAGGGCGGTGAAACGGCGTAGCAGACAGCGTTGGCGCAGACGGCCAAGTGCGAGACGGAGGAGTGCGGCCTCACGCAGCCGCGCGAGTTTTTGAACGAGCGCGCGCGCGCCACGACTGCGACACGCGCGTGCGTGCCAGAGGGGCAACGCGCGTGCGCAGAGCCGGAGTTTCGTGTGCGTGCGCAGCTCGAGCCAAAGATCCGCGCGGCGCCGCAGCTGCGCCAACGCCGGGCGCCACAATGTGCGGCAAAGCGCCGCTCGCAGCGCGGCGTCCAGCCGCCGCGCGGCCGCGGCCGTGCGACACTCGCGCGTGGCCAGTGCGTCCGCGAATGCGCGCCACAGCTGCAGCTGCCGCCGCGTGCGCCCCACACACAGCCGTTCGCGCAGAAAGGTCACCGAAAGCGCGTGGTACCACACACGTTTCCAGCGTTGCAGAGCCGCCAGCGCGCACGCCTGTCGAACCAGCCGCAGTCGACAGCGCCCGCGACCGAGCCGACGCCAGGCGCCAAAGCAGCGCCGCCGCAGCACGTCGGACACGCGCTCTGCGCGCCCCGGCTCCGCCGCACGCAATTCCCGCCCACGTTCGCGCGCGCACGCGGCCGCCGCGCGCCAGAACCCGAAGCGCAGCCCCAGTCGGCGCGTGAGCAGCTGCCTCACCGTCAC